CAACACAGGGTTCTTAGCAAGAGCAATGGCACCCTGGCTGTCACAGTACAGTGGGGTAGGTCATTGCTGCTCCTCCCCCAATTCAGCCAACAAATGCCGCTGCCACACAATCTCCCGTACGGCACGGAAGAGTGCCATGTACTCGGACTCCACCGAGCTCAAAGCTTGGTCAACCTGCTTCTTGCTCTCCCAAGCAGTTGGGCCTCCACCAACACAGCATATGAAGCCTCCCACACTTGTCATGTCCTCTGGTTCTGATGCATATGAAGCATCCGAGTAGGCGGTGAGGAACAAACGCCCAGGTTCAACACCATCCGCGCCCTTTTGGCGCCTTTGTGCCGCCGCCGAGTATTGCAGCCCAACGGTCGGTGTTTGGCCAAGATACTTGGCCACCCTCATTCCAGCTGCTACCTGCTCCTCATTAGGGCATTGCACAACCCTAGCCAGCTGCCCGGTAGCAAACGCGACGTCCGGTCGGGTGTTTACCGCCGCATACATGAGGCTGCCCACCAACGAGTGAAATCGGCGCCTCTCCTCTTCACCAACGCTCTCCTCCTCTGGTCCCTTCACACACTTGAACCCAGAGGGAAAGGGTGTAGCCACATGGCCTTCACTCTGCCCAAAGTTGGCAGCCAATGCCTCCAGGTACTTTCGTTGATGCACCCGCATGCACTGCATCTCCACATCTCGTTCGATGTGGAGCCCAAGGTAGAAGCTCACGTCACCAAGGGCCTTGCACTTGAACTTGTCTTGAAGCTTCAGCATCACCTCCTTCACAAGGTCAGAAGAGGGTGAGAAAATGAGGATGTCATCCACATAAACCACCATGAAACTCCTCTGCTCCCCCTCGCCAAGCATGAACAAGGAGTGATCGGCCGTTGAGGGAGTGAAGCCGATCCCCTCCAACACTTCGCGCAGCTTCATGTACCATTGCCTAGGGGCCTGCTTCAGCCCATAGAGGGCCTTCTTCAGCTTCCACACTCTGCCACTACCATCATCAAACCCCTCTGGCTGCGCCATAAAAATCTCCTCCTCAAGGATGCCGTTAAGGAATGCCGTTACGATGTCCATTTGCTTTACTACCCATCCTTTGATGGCGGCTCCCGCGAATAGGGTTCGCAGCGTCGTCGGCTTCACCACAGGGGCAAACAGCTCCTTGAAGTCCACCTTTTCCTTCTGCTGGTACCCCTTGGCTACAAGCCTAGACTTGTAGCGCTCGATCTTGCCGTCGGCATCCGACTTGATTTTGAAGAGCCACTTGGACGTTATCGCCGTACGCCCCTCCGGTAGCTCCACCAATTCAAACGTGTCATTCTCCTCGATGCTCTTCAGCTCACTCTCCATGGCCTTCTTCCACTCCTCAGCATCACTACTCTCCAAAGCCTCCTTGAGAGTTGCTGGTTCTCCCGGCATCTCCACCGGAGAGAAGAACGCGAAGGCACACTCCTCGTAGTCACTCTCCTCGTCGTCTCCGACCATCATTGCCGCTCCGGCCAGGGCTGTCTTGCCCTGCTTTCCCGGCGCATCATAGGTCAGCCTATTAGGGGGTTGAACTCTCCTCTTCCCCCTTCCTTCCTCCTCAGCTGCAGGGACTTGAAGGCCTTGGCGTTGCTGCGGTGTGGCTCGAATCCGTGGAGCACTCGTAGTACGGGAAGGGAGTGACGGTGCACGCTCGCTCACTTGCTGCACCTCCTCCTCTTCTTCCTCTGCATCATTGGCCTCCTCTCCCCCATTCACAAGGGAGGATTGCCTTGTGGTTGTGCTGCCGCTGCTCAGCTCCAAAGGCAGCTCCACATGCTTCAAACCGGAACTCTTCACCTCCCCAAACCGCACGCCTATCTTCGCCTCATTCTCCGCCTTCCAATCCTTGTACATGAAGTTCTCCATGAACTTGCAGTCCCTGCTCACCAAGAACTTCTTGCTGAATGGGTCCCAAAGAAGCCATCCCTTGCTGTTTTGAGCCATGCCCAAGTGCACGGCCCACACCGCCTTGGCACCAAGCTTGTTGTGCCGAAGATGCTTAGGCACGAGCGCCATGCACATGCACCCGAACACCCGAAGCATATCCACCTTTGGCTTCCTTCCTAGCCACTCCACATAGGGCACCCATTTGTCTGCTCCTACATGAGTCAAGGCTCTGTTCTTGGCCACACACGCGCTCCGCACCGCATCAGGCCAGAAATAGTCGGGTAGCCCGGCTTCAATGAGCAACCCGCGTGCCGCCTCCGTGATTGTGCGGTTCGCTCGCTCGGCGATGCCGTTCATTGCAGGGGAGTATGGCATGGTGAGGGAGTGCCGAATACCATTCTTCTTCAGCCACAACCCAAACTCCTTGCTCAGGAACTCTCCCCCTCGATCGGTGCGGATTGACTTGACTAGACGGTCTTGTTGCCGCTCCACCATCGGGAACCAATCCGTCTTCAACGTTTCAGCCACGTCGCTCTTCTTGGCCAGCACGTACACCCAAGTCATGCGGGTGTAGACGTCGACAATGGTGAGAAAATACTCAGCTCCAGCAGCTCCAAGCTTCAGGGGGCCCACCACGTCCATCACCACCTCATCAAGCGGTGCCTTTGCCGTTGCCTCCGAACTAGGGAACGGAAACCGGGTGAACTTGGCTTGAATGCACGTCGGGCAGCCAAGCACCTCATCGGGCTCCCCCTTCACACGTATGCCAGCAACCATCTCATTCTTCACTAGCTGCTGCAAGATGGGCAGGGCCACATGCCCCATGCGCCAATGCAAGGTGAGCCAATCACACTCCCCCGTAGCCGAAGTTGGATTGGAGAATGCCGCGCTCGCAATAGCGCCCCACATACTCTCTCCGTAGTCCTCCTCCGCTGCTGCCTCTGGGTTCTCCTCACCCTTTTGCTGCTCCTTGGTTGCTGCACCACTCTCCTTAGGTTCACTGAACTTGCTGGTCCCTCCAGGTTTGCTCTTCTTGAGCTCATTCTCCTTAGCGCGACCGTTCGCGCCATCGTCGCTACCGACCGCTCCATCCTTGGTGCTGATGCTTGCTGCCACTTGCCTCTCCTTAGGCATAGGGACCACTGGGATCTGCCACATCTCGTTGTAGACATCCCTGTCCTCATGAAGGTCCCAAAGAATTCGATCGCCAAGCCTTGCGGTGTAGGTCTTGGCTCCCTTCGAGTTCGTGTCCATGCCGGCCTTTGCCAACCGCCGCACGGAAATCAGGTTTGCAGCAAGGCTGGGCACCCAAAGCACGTTCTTGAGGCCCACCATCTTTCCATCAGCACCCTTGAACATGGTCTTGCCCATGCCTTTCACCTCTGCTCGCTGCCCCAAAGCCGATGTGACATGCTTCACCGATGACGGCTCGAGTTCGGTGAGCAAGTCCGGGCGAGGTGTCATGCCATAAGTAGCGCCACTATCAATCACCCAATAGTCCAGGGGGTGTAGGGTCACCTTCCCCACAGCTGCTGGCTCCTCAAAGCCTTCATCCTTCTCTGGACCAGCCGGTACTTGCGTCGACACGAAGTAGAATAGACCCGGGTATCGATCGTCGCTCGGGTCCTTGTCGTTGTCTCCGCTCTTCATGTTTGCAGCTCCGCCACCGCGACCGCCACGGCCTCCACGGCCTCGTCCTCTCCCTCCTCCTGCTCCTCTACCCTCTTGGCCTTGAGCAGGGGTCCAACCATCAGGGAGTTTGTAGCAGTCGCGCCACATGTGTCCGCTCTTGTGGCAATAGTGACACTCGCCGTCGAATCGGCCGCGACCGCGTCCGTAGCTCTTGTCGTCGCTGCCGTAACCGCCACTCCTGCGGCCTCCGCCGAAGTTGCTGCCACCAAACCTTCCTCCCCCTCGTCCTCTGCCTCTTCCTTGACCATATCCACGGCCGATGCTCGCTGCCCCAGCGCCATCCGCACTCGCCAACTCACGGCGGCGGAAATCCTCTTGAAGGATAGCTCGCTTCACGTCTTCAAGCGAGAGGCGGGGCAAGTCGCGATTAAGGTTGATGATGAGCGAGGACCATGACTCTGGGAGTAAGGCCAGCAACTTGGTCTTCTTTTGGAGCTCACTGTAGTTCAAATCAGCTCCCTCAAGCCGCGTCAACAAGTCGAAGAATTTCTGCACCCCTTCTTCAACCGCTTCGTTTTCTTCAATTCGTAGTGCCGCCATTTGCCGTTCCAACACCACCGCTACCGCCGCTGTTGCAGGAGCATGTACACCCTTGAGAGCAGCCCATGCCTTTGGTCCTTTCTCTGGTTCACGCTGGAATGGCTTGATGTGACGGATCTGACTGCTCCCCAACGCTTGCCCAAGTAAGAGATAGCCTTGTGCGCTCTTCCGCACCCACGGGCTCTTCTCCGGGTCGTTCTCGGGGCGCTTCTCCGTTCCTTCCATCACCTCCAGCAGGTCATAGTGGTCAAAGATGTTCTCCATCTTGAAGGACCATTCAGCAAAGTTGTCACCGTTGAACTTGTCAAGCCCAAACACCCTAGGCTCATCCCTAGGTGGGCCAAGACTTGGTTTCATGGGCGCCATGGCTGAATCACGGGGTTGGCCTTGAGCTTGAGCTTCTCCACTGCCACCAGCACCTCTGCCACCCCTTTCCTCAGGTCCAGACATTGTCGAAACTGCTCCAAGGGGCTCTGATACCACTTGTTATAGTCACAATAGGCTTGAATGTGCCTAAAACGAAAGATAGAGAGCACAGACGGATTTCTGCACAGCGGCTTCAAACGTTGATAGCGTTCTGCTCACAGCTGCAAATGACTTGATTCAAATTGGATCTGGAGCGTCTTCACGTCGTCTACAATTATCAATTTAGATTGCACGATTTGATAAAGAATTGACGACACAGCGTCGGTTTGAACGAACGGTACTATGGCAGCCACTATAGTCTTAGAACACAAGATAGGAAGAGTTACGAGTTGGGAATGACTCCCAGCTCCTACAAACCCCAAGAGCCGAGGTACAGTGATGTGGAACAGTGCCACACTGTCCCCAACCACGAAGGGTCTCGAAACTACCCTTCACTAGGGCCTACACCAAGTGAAATGTTACACTACACAAAGTAATGTAACTATCTTCAATATCTTGAGGTGTACCCTTTGGCGAGCTTCGAAATCACTTGAGGCTTGACACCAAGGCTCGGGCTCTTCATCACAAACTCATCCTTGAGTTCTTGATGGGTCTGCTGCACACACCTGCGACACGCCGAACGTTCGACACAGGACAAAATAGAAACCGCGCACGACAAAATAGAAACCGCGCGCGAGACACAAACGACCGCGTAACACGCGTCTAGCGATAACTCGCTATTGACTCGACACACACACTCGACATCATGACTCAACATTCACACACAATTATAAGCATGAAATATATATTATCCCATGCCCTCATACCATTCCATACACACACACATTCACGCACACTGACAACAAGCCGAGTGCAAACCGTAGGGTTGCACCAACAATGGGGACAGAGGGAGATGGGGACAGAGGGAGATGGGGACAGAGGGAGATGGGGACAGAGGGAGATGCGGATAGGGGGGGGTGCGGATAGGTGGGGATGGTGAAAGAGGGAGATGCGGATGGAGGGAGATGGGGACAGAGGGAGATGGGGACAGAGGGAGATGGGTACAGAGGGATGTGAGGACCTGGGGAGATGCAGACAGAGGGAGATGGGGACAGAGGGAGATGGGGACAGAGGGAGATGGGGACGGGAGATGCGGATAGGGGGAGATGCGGATAGGTGGGGATGGTGAAAGAGGGAGATGCGGATAGAGGGAGATGGGGACAGAGGGAGATGGGGAAAGGGAGGGAGATGGGGACAGAGGGAGATGGGGAAAGGGAGGGAGATGGGGACAGAGGGAGATGCGGATAGGGGGAGATGCGGATAGGGGGGGATGGTGAAAGAGGGGGATGCGTATAGAGGGAGGTGCGGATAGAGGGAGATGCGGATAGAGGGAGATGCGGACAGAGGGAGGTGCGGATAGAGAGATGTGCGGCCTGAGGGAGGTGTGGATAGCTCGTGGTGCATTCGGAGAGTGATGCATACACCCAGAGGTGAGGACAGAGTGGGGTGAGGACAGAGTTGGGTGAGGACAGAGTGGGGTGAGGACAGAGTGGGGTGTGGACAGAATGGGGTGAGGACAGAGTGGGGTGAGGACAGAGTGGGGTGAGGACAGAGTGGGGTGTGGACAGAGTGGGGTGAGGACAGAGTGGGGTGTGGACAGAGTGGGGTGAGGACAGGGAGGTGCAGATAGAGACCGCCGTGGACAGAGCATACAGTACACACCCACAAGGATATTTTCTATACCCCACCAATGCTCATCTACGCCCGATACTGAAATGCGCACGGGATTGTGCTTCCCGAATTTGTGTGTGTCTTCGCAGGCTCATCGGGCAGTAGCGCTTCCGGCACTGGATGTGCGCACAGGCGAGCCTTCGGCAACGTATGCACGCGCAGTACCATCGCATCACGGATCCCCCGCGTTCTCATGTGTAGAGTATGGTGCGGTGGACACCGTACATGGGTATGGCAAGTTGGTCCTTATCATGCGTGCGAGGAGGTCCGCGTATTGACAGGGAGGCCCGTTGTACCCGATGGCGTACATCAAGCCCTGGAAGGAGCTTGGCGTCGACCAGCTCACTGGGTGTGTGAAGTTAGAGGAGGTTGAAGATGCGGACGCATATGTGGTCGTGCCTATTGCTCACCTTCGTCGGGTTGTACATGTCGTCCAGTCCTTCGATCGGCCAGACGTGTGGTTGTTGAACAAGTGGGCCGCTGGCCTGCGTCGGGGGGGTGTATGATGGCGATGCGCAACCATTTATGCGCCATTGGTGTGTGTGGTGGTTTAAAAGGACAGTGTTGGCGCGTTGTGTTGAGAGTTTACAAGCGTGGAGACATGTGCAAGGTGGTTTGCAATTACTACTACGATGGCTAGGATAAACTATACACTAATCCTTTGCGTATATGGGTACCTAGTTGTCTCTGATCTAGTTTTGTGTGCTGCGTGCACTCGACAATCACTGCTTTGTAGTCTAGTTTGAGTTGAAATTTACACATGGGAGCTGTGAGAACCATCATAATTGCATTTGTGCATAGGCTGGACATTGGCGTTCACGATTGTCAGTTGGTTCTGTTCTATACACAAGGGGTATTCAAACATTTAAAGATTTCATTCTAATATACAAAAAGTCGCAAGAATAACATGTAGAAAACTGATCCGAATGGTACAAGTAAAATGGATATCCCATAAAGCGAATTTCGTTGTGAACCCAGCCTCGATCCCCAACCAGATGGGAAGCCGAAGCTGAAGCCGAAGCTCCCTCCGAAGCTGGGGGTTATCACCTGGGTTACAACGAACTGAGCGCAACACTGATTGGTCCGCATCATTCTCCCGAATTCCAAATTGCGAAAAATAACCATTTCGTAGCCGTCGCACGAGCGTGGGGGTAACCTGAGGGCCACCCCGCGAGGGTGACCTGGGGGTATCCCACGCTTTCCAGCCGATTTTGGCCTCCTGATTTTTGGGATGAAGCTGACACGCTTGAAATAAACCTTTCCGCTACGTCAGCTGACTGTTTCCGATGCGCGCATGGCGGATCGAATTCGCGTGTTGAACGCGATCGCAGCGGTGGCTATCGTGGTGATTCTTTATTATGTGGGTCGGCCGCTGTACTGGGAGGTAGAAGCGAGGATGCAGGAGTACCGCGAGGGGTTCTCGGACGCCACTGCCGCTGGCACGACGGTGACAGCAGCACACGGAGGAACCATTCGGCCCGTCGGTAACGCGCGAGGTGCGCGACGGGTTTCGAGGTTGCCGGGATGGTGTGCTTGATTCAAGCTTTAGAGTCAGTGAGTTTAAGACTCTATCGCACTCGTGGCTTGCCGCTCGGGCCGCTCACCCGCTCTAATCCCACCCTCCCAAATTCCGTACCTAGTCTCCACCTCCACCATCTGAACTCCCACGCCCGCAATAGTCTTAACTTCAAAAGTCCCCCGTCTGCAGTCGAACCCTCTCTAGTCACACGCCTCTTTTTCCCTAACCCCTTTCAACTCACCCGCCCCTCGCAGCACCCTCTCCTGGCTCTTAATGCCCTTCACACTCACGCTGCTCACCCTCTCTACTCACACTCCCTTGTGTCTCACCCTCTCTACTCACACACCTTCTTCTCTCACCCTCTCTGGTCTCACACCCTCTACACTCTCCCGCACTCTGTCTCCCCCTGTCCCCTGTCTACCCCCTCCTCCTCTCTTCTCCATGCGTGGAGGACAGCAGCACTGCAAGGCCTGCCTGAAGGAAGCATCTCTTCCCTCCTGCCTCCTGCCTCCTGCCTCTTGACGTCGTTCACTTTGAAGCTACCCACCCTCTCGGCTCACACACACCAGTCGCACGTCCCTCTCTCGCCATGCGTGCAGGGCTGGAGGCAGCAGCGCTGCAGGGGCTGCCCAAGGAGGCGTCCATGGCGCTCATGGCGCTGGACGTGGTGGACCCCGACGCCAACACGCCCGCCACCCCCGCTGCTGCACACCACAGCCCGGCGGGATCAGGTGCAGCAGCAGAATCAGCTGGAGCGACAGAGTCGGGAGGGGCAGACGAGGCAGGAGCAGCAGAAGGAGAAGTAGGGGCTACAGAAGAGGCAGGAGCAGCAGGGGCAGCAGGGGCAGCAGGGGCAGCAGGGGCAGCAGCGGAAGCAGGGGAAGCAGGGGCGGGGGGCAAGCAGGAACCCGCAGGCGCATCAGGAGTATCCCTGAATCTCCCTACAGACACCCCTGAAGCATCGACTGCTGAAGAAGTGGCTGCAGGCGCCACCTCCACCGAATCATCTGGGGCAGGCGCGTCTGGAGCAGGCGCATCTGGGGTAGGCGCATCTGGGGCGGGGCCATTCGCGACTGGCGTGCGGCCCATCCTGCACGAGGGCAGGCCGCTGCTGGCCGCCCTGAAAGCGGCAAGCAGCATCGCCTCAGAGAGGCCGTGGCGTTGATTGACCCTCCCGAGTAGTAGTACTATACTATGACCCGCCAGGTGGGGTGCTGAGAATCTAAACAGTGGCCTAGTTATCAGTAATGAGGGTGTGTATAAGTGGGTCAGGCACGCACATGGCAAGCAGAGGGACAGCAAGAGGCATTGCTTGAGAGAGGCTGTAGCGTTGATTGCCACACTACTGCAATCCGCCAGTCACAGGGGCTTTAACTTGGTTGAGACAGTGGTTTGTACACGTTCATCCCTGCTTCATTCTGCTGCTTTCATTCGGGCTCCGCCCCACATGCTGTGTGGACTCTACTGCCGCCCGTCCGCCCCACATGCTGTGTGCGTGGCGTGCCTGCCAGGTGGCGGCTGTCATTCGTGAACAACATCCCGGAGGAGCTGCTGACAGGTGGCGACCACTCCCTGCAGACGCACTTCAACCTCGTCAACTACCAGGTCAGCTCGCTGCCAGGTCAGCTCCCTGCCAGGTCAGCTCCCTGCCAGGTCAGCTCCCTGCCAGGTCAGCTCCCTGCCAGGTCAGCTCCCTGCCAGCCCAGTCAACCAGGTCAGTCAGTGCTAGACGAGCAGCAGGAATCAACCTGGTCAACCTGGTCAACCTGGTCAACTTGGTCAACCTGGTCAACCCTGTCAACCTCTAGGCTATGGTACTTACTTTCTCTCACATGCTGCCACGTGTCATTTCAAGCGTGTGAAAGTCCCTCGTCTGTCGTCTTCTGCCCTCCACCCATGCGACTATCAGCATCCTTCTCAGCCACGTTCCATGCCATCACTCACTAATACTGGGCTCCACTTGCCTCAACTCAATGTGGCTGACCTCCCTCTTCCCTGCTTCCTCTCCTCCCTGCTTCCTCTCCTCCCTGCTTCCTCTCCTCCCTGCTTCCTCTCCTCCCTGCTTCCTCTCCTCCCTGCATCCATCGTGCAGCTCGTGAATCTCAGATCAGCGCTCGCCATCGCCACAATACTCAACAGAACGCTTGTAAGTCTTGCCTCTGTTATTTGCCTCTCTCACCCGCTCTGCCACTTGCTCGTGAGCGAATGATTAAAGGCCACTTGCCTCACCATGCCTGCATGCAACCACCTGCCCTGCCCTGCCCTGCCCTGCCCTGCCCCGCCCCGCCCCGCCCCGCCCCGCCCCGCCCCGCCCCGCCCCGCCCCGCCCCGCCCCGCCCCGCCCCGCCCCGCCCCGCCCCGCCCCGCCCCGCCCCGCCCCGCCCCGCCCCGCCCCGCCCCGCCCTGCCCCGCCCCGCCCCGCTACGCTCCGCTCCGTTCCGCTCCGCTCTGCTCCGCTCTGCTCCGCCCTGCTCCGCCCTGCTCCGCCCTGCTCCGCCCTGCTCTGCTCTGCTCTGCTCTGTGCATGCATGTGTTGAAGCGCGCGTGCATGACTTGAAGGAACCGATTGATCCCCCCATCCACAACCTGCGCCCTTCTCCCCCCACTGGAGGTCCTGCCCGCCACGTGGGTGCGCTACGATCGCATCTGGTTCCCCCACCCGGGGATACTGGACGGCACGGACACGCCGCAGCCGTTCCTGGCGCCCGCCGACCACGTGGTGGAGGTGCAGAAGATGCTGCCCGGCGCTCTCAAGGAGGACGAGTTCGGCCCCGCCGTGCCCATCCGCGAGTACTCCTTCCTTGACAACCCTCGCACCCCACACGCCGTGAGTGCTCTGCTCTCGCTGCCACCTGTGTCCGCGGCACAATCCAGCGCATGCCGCCAGGCAGGCAAGCTAAAAGAGGGCGAGCTTGGTCCAGCAACGCCAGATCCCCCTCTCACCGCTCCCCCCTTTCAAGCCATGCCAGGCGCTCCCTGCCTCTCTCACCGCTTCCCCTCTCCCACATCCCTCCCCCCTGCCACCATTGCGCAGGTGCTCAAATCGAAGCTGGCCGTGCAGCTGTGTGACGAGGGCTCCCCCGACTGCCCCAGCACGCCCACTGGCGCCACCGACAGCATTTGCATGAAGAAGAACACGCGGCAGAACGAGGTGCCGTGGGATGGGAAGTGGGAGGGCGGGTGGGTGGTAGGGAAGCTAACGCACGAGTTCCCCACTTAGTGGAGTTGCAAGGTCCGAATCAGGAAAAATGCACAGCACAACAACCTTCAGCACGCCTCGTCCCCACTCCTTTATCCAAGTTTGAGTTGACTTGCAAGTACTGAGAGAGAGCGAAGATGGCAGAGCACCAGGCAGACTGGGTGGTTAGATTGAAATGGTTGGGTGGAAAGTGGAAGATGGCCGGCTGGGTGCCATTCTTTCGTTTGGAATGGCAGACGTGCTGCTAAGCCATTCTTTCGTTTGGAATGGCAGACGTGCTGCTAAGCCATTCTTTCGTTTGGAATGGCAGACGTGCTGCTAAGCCATTCTTTCGTTTGGAATGGCAGACGTGCTGCTAAGCCATTCTTTCGTTTGGAATGGCAGACGTGCTGCTAAGCCATTCTTTCGTTTGGAATGGCAGACGTGCTGCTAAGCCATTCTTTCGTTTGGAATGGCAGACGTGCTGCTAAGCCATTCTTTCGTTTGGAATGGCAGACGTGCTGCTAAGCCATTCTTTCGTTTGGAATGGCAGACGTGCTGCTAAGCCATTCTTTCGTTTGGAATGGCAGACGTGCTGCTAAGCCATTCTTTCGTTTGGAATGGCAGACGTGCTGCTAAGCCATTCTTTCGTTTGGAATGGCAGACGTGCTGCTAAGCCATTCTTTCGTTTGGAATGGCAGACGTGCTGCTAAGCCATTCTTTCGTTTGGAATGGCAGACGTGCTGCTAAGCCATTCTTTCGTTTGGAATGGCAGACGTGCTGCTAAGCCATTCTTTCGTTTGGAATGGCAGACGTGCTGCTAAGCCATTCTTTCGTTTGGAATGGCAGACGTGCTGCTAAGCCATTCTTTCGTTTGGAATGGCAGACGTGCTGCTAAGCCATTCTTTCGTTTGGAATGGCAGACGTGCTGCTAAGCCATTCTTTCGTTTGGAATGGCAGACGTGCTGCTAAGCCATTCTTTCGTTTGGAATGGCAGACGTGCTGCTAAGCCATTCTTTCGTTTCCCCTCGTTGATCTTCTCGGCTCCTCTTCCACTCCACCTCCTACCAACGCACACACTCGTCTCCTTCCCTTCCGCATCCCCTCCCCCCATGCCACGCATCGCCCCTGCAGCTGAAGGCAGTGCTGTCGCGCTACTCAGGCATGAAGTGGATCGAGTTCTCTTCCATGCTCCACTCCTTTGGAGGCTGGGACGACAAGGTGAGACAAGTGTCTCCTCTTTTCTCAAATCTAATGTATCATCGCTGTCGTGTGCTGCTGCATGCTATGCGCAGCTACTGATGTCATGATCCGGCTCTGATGATATCCGTATTTCCACAACTCAGATCTTGTTGCGGCGGTACGTTTTTTAGTCGACTCCGATCTCCTGGATCCTCTGTGTCCTCCCCTGGGCGCTATGCATTGCTGGGTGGGCAGGCGATGGAGAGGAAGTTCAGATGGCGGCTGCGGCAGTACGTGGGCATCTGGTGCTGCGTCAATGCGCAGCCAGGTATGGCGCACAGCCATGCCATGCCACACCTCTTGCTGCTCTGCATGCACCCACCCCGCACATCATGGGCGCGCTTGGCTTTTCCTGCATGCCCCGGATGCCATCCCGAGTCGAACACATGTGATGTTTGAACCGCAGCTTACATGAGCTCACCATGTTCCCCCCTGCCCACTCCGTATCCTTCCAGGCCACATCTGGTGCGATTGTTTCAACAATGAAATCTCCACATGTGCCTGGGTGGGTGGAAGCCTCTGATTCGAGACCTGCAAATCACTCGGAATCACCATGGCGTTCCTGTCTCCCCCCTGCCCTGGCTGTCTCCCCCCTGCCCTGCGTGCCACCCTGCAGGGCACATCTGGTACGACTTGTTCAACGATGAGATCCCCGGGTGGAAGCCAAGGCCGCCAGCCAATTGGACAGAGGACCACCCGCCATGGGGCAAGGACCAACCGGGCGCCTTATGACTAGCACAGGCCCTGTGGCGGCTGTTGTCCTTGTGACTTGACTTGGGAGTTGAAAGTCAACTAGAAGGACCACCCTCCATGGGGCAAGGGCCAAGACAAGAGGGGACAGAAGGGTTTGTCTGGAACAAGCTGGCCATTCTGGCGAGTGTGTTTTTGAGGAGGATCTACGGATGTCGCAAACGAGAGAGACGGAAGAGAATTCGTCCTGAACAAGGACCAATACGGTAACAGACCGGTACCTTAGTCGTTTCGCATCGGTGGAATCCTGTCCAGGTATAACCGCCGCGCAAATTTTATGGGAATCTTTACCAATGCGGTCGGGAACAAAACAGGATGGCCAAGTGTACCTGCTCCATCTGTTCCTTGCTGAATAAAGCACAAAGAAGAAATAACAAGTGGCTTTTTCTATACACTGCAGTCTACTTTAGTTACATTTGCTAAACGCCTTGTCAAATCGAGAGAAAAAAATAACTGTAATGTAGCTTCAAGAATGTTTGAGATGAGCTTCAGGAAGCAGGCACAGCCTCTTTCTTCTCGGCACCAGACGTGGCCGCAGGAATGGCCTGTGCTGATGGCGCGGATGTGGGCAGCCCCACCAGCTCCTGCATTGGCTTCCAGTAGAACTTGCGCCTGCACACGCACACCCACCCAGCAGACACCACATTCAAGTCACAGTACACCCTGAGCTGCACACGCGGTGGCAGCTGCTACGGACTACATGCCTCCCAGAGTGATGAATCTAAGTGCTGTGATGTATTTGGTACAGGAAATCGAGTGCGTTCCAGCAGGAATGATGCTGTGACATTCAGTCTCATGAGTAAGAATTGATTCAGGGGAATGAGGCAGATGCTGCTGATGGGCAGGGCAGGAGAGGGGAGCACTCACGAGTAGCCCATCTCCACGACCACCTTCACGTTGGGCCGCAGCGCCGGCAGCAGTGTGAGGAACTGCAGCTCGTTCTTCGCCAGCACCTGCAAGCACACATGCACACGTGCCGGCCAACAACACACCGACCATCAGCGCACGGCGGAGGCACGTGCACAGGAAACGCGTGGGAAAATAGCCATTGCAATGGGCGTGCTATTTTCGGGCAGTGGACAGCAGACCCTCAATGCTCCGCGGACAGATTCCCATGCCAATGCGCCTCCCATGCCAATGCGCCTCCCATGCCAATGCGCTTCCCATGGCCACTGCTGCTGTGGCACGAGCAGAGGCGCATGACATATAGCATGTACCCAGTGACCAGGGGACCAGGGGACAAGCCCCCCCAGGCAAGTGAGAACAGCAAGCGCGGCCCTTGTTACTGCTGTGAGACACACCCAACGACCGTCCTATTCTCTGATTCCTCGTAGCATTCCCAGCAGCCGTCGCAGCACCATCCCACATCAATTCGCGACTGCCCCACACCAGTGCGCGACTGCCTCACGCCAACCACGGACGGCATAGCTGGGGGCTTCATCGCCGCACGTCCGCGCCGTGCGTCCGCGTCGGCACCACCCAGCGTGCGGTCATCCCCATTCGCCCCTCCCCCCGCCAGCCCCACGCAGACCCCGAAGGAGCGACGCACCTTGGCCTCGCCGATCCAGAGCACGAGCCCCTTGTACTTGGGCGGCAGCACGGCCAGCCGGTGGTCCACCTCGGGCGGCAGGTAGAACCGCGCCACCGCTTGCCGCCCCAGATGCGGCTGCCAGTGCGTGAGAGGCACAGGGCGGGTGTGGAAGAGAAGAGGGGGGTGGGGGGGGGGGGGGGGGGGGGGGGAGGAGAGGGGAGGGGGGTGGGGGTGGAAGGGGAGGAGAAAGAGGGGGGAGCGAAACGCGGATAGGGAGAGAAGGCGGGAAGTGGACGAGTAAGCGGTTGAGGCCGGGCGGGGTGGCGCGGCAGTGCGACAGCAACGACACGGCGAGGCTGCCACGCGACCACACAAAATCTTACGAGCGCGCACGAGAACCCTCGAGAACACACGAGAACACACGAGGGGAAGGGATGCAGAACTGCCGTTTCTACGAAGAAACGGGCTCGCCTGTCCGCCAATCAGCAGCTACGCGCTGGCCACCATAGCGGCGCGTGAATGGCGAATCATGCAGCCGCTGATGAGAGGGAGACGGCAGTGCGACCGCGACACCGCTCTCTCTCAGCGATGCACCGCGGCATGGACAATGCAGCTGACGGCCACGAGCAACGGAACCCGCGTGAAGCACGCACCGGGCGGACGCCGTGGGTCTTGAGGAGGTACGCCTCGGGGTCGCCGAGGCCGCGCGCCGAGATGTTCATCATGTGGTAACCCGCGTACTTCAGACTCGTCGCATAGCGACCCTCCGCGCCGCCCTCCGGTGGCGAATAGAAGCCGACCGCGCCGTAGCGCTCGACGTCGTCCACCCATTGGCCGAGATCCAGCCCGATGAGATCGCCGCCGATGAAGTCGTCCAGCCCGCATGTCACCACGCCGCGCGACGCGCTCTGCGAGGGTAGAGCTAGTCTAGAGGTCTTGGCAGCTGCGACCTGCGACCGGGAGGTGGTCGCACGAAGGCCGCTGAATGACACGGCGTCGCATTGCAACCGCCGTGCTGATGCTGACCTGGACGAGTATTGCCGACTGCTTGACTTTACGCAGGCGGATGGGCAAGGGATGGTCGCCATGGCTGTGCCTGTGGTAACTGCGATCACAGGTGACTATCTCCTGTTCGTTTCGGTTGTGGTTCCAGTCCGCCTTGAAATCTTCGCAGTGGTGCTCCAGTGCCGCGTGGCGAGGTGGCGGGTTGAACTGGAGAGAGTGGGTTGCGTGCGCGTGAAAACGGGAAGGAATCCGAAGGTGGACAGAAAAGCGGGAGAAGGGAGAAAAGCCCAGAAGTGATGACCACGGGTTGGGGGAGAAGCGTCCGACGTGGCAAGCCTGGAAGAGTAGTGGTGCCGAGGTGGTCTGAGCTGATCCAGAGTGCCAGACCCACTACAAATCTCCAGGCCATTGTCCCCATTATCGAGTAGTCATGAGGGTCCGTTATGAATAACAGCTAAAGCATTTACATTTGCAGGGTATATAAAATGCTGGGGTTTGACGAGATTATTCCCCTTGTGCGAAAACTAAATGAAGCTCTATATTATGGATTAAGTTTAATACAAAGTCATGGATTTGAAGATAAAGGGGCATTAGAGGAAGCAGATGAGAGATAGGAAATAGGAAAAATAATAGTGATTGTTAGAATAGTAGGACATGAATGGTTTGGCTAAGGAATGGACGAGATACATATAATGACCTAAAAGCGTTGTACTCACTAATGAGTACCCCAACATAGCCTACAGCATATGTAAAACATTTGACACACCCCCATAGGCTAAGTGGGGGGGACAACAAGAAGGTCACAAGCAAGGCTGACGTTTCATATTAGGCCTCCCTGAATCCGGAATACAGCATGCTGACAAATTTGACAGCCGACAGTTTTGTCATTCAAAGTTGACAGCTGTGCTGTGCAGCGGTGCTGTACAGCCGAGAGTGGGCGTTACTTGTCAGTACCACCCTCCCACATTCTCAGTCATCTCACCTTCGCGCGCACTCTGAACAGTGCTTGGATTTAGCGCGATGGTACCCCTAAGTAGTTCTCGGACAATAGCTCAGGTGGCGACAAACCAGTGTTGATTGTCAACTCGAAGTAGTGTCGCAACTTTCTGATGGACAGCTTTCTCGCCAACCAAGGCTATTTGCCGCATCTTTTCAGAGGTTTCGTTCATTCTCCCCATCATCTGCACAACCAATCATCTGTTGCATCTGTGAATCTTCTCGCATGTGCGGTGGGATTGTGTTTGATAGCGTTGGTCTGTACTGCACAAACAGCTTCGAAATCTCTAGTGGAGCAAAGCTGTGAGTAGTGAAATGGCTGAGGTGAAACAGGTGGCAGTGCTCATTGAAATGATGATTACGCACATGGGGGGGTACTCGTACGAAGTTTCTTGGAAGCTTCGTCCCGATAACGTCTCATCAGGGTCCACACGACGCGTACTCTGTATTGACAGGGTCCATAAGAACACTACTCTGAGAGTGTATACGGAAATTCAGGGCCTGCTTAAGTACTACTCTGACTGGATCAGTGTTTAAAACTCGATAAATCTGCTTTTACAGGGACCACACGGTGACAAGTCTGAAATCATGGTAATTACCCTGGAAAACACAGCCATCGTCACAAGACCAGTGAAGAGAAGCAAACAAAGCAAAGCTCAGGGTGGATCTCAATATCACCACGCAGTCCGAGCACAAGCAAGCGGCCACAGGGTCAGTTGACATGCAGAGTTATGATAGCAATGGCAGTACACTGAACACAACCTAGCAAGCAGGCCCCAAGATTTCACCCTTTTTACACTGATTCAGCCATTTTCAGCCATTTTTCTGTTCCTATGCTGATTTGTCAGCCTTTTCCCCTAAAGACTAGGTGACTTTCTAGTGGTTTTAAATGAAAATAGCATTTTTTGTTGATTTTCAGCATAAATTTGCCAGTGATGTCTGATTTTTTCAGCCGACCACAAAACCAATCTAGGGGTCTGCTAGCAAGTGCAAACATGCAGGTATATAGATATGAGCAGAGTGGGCACAAGCCAAAGCTAGATCAAGAAACAAGCAAGTGAGTCAGAGTGGGCACAAGCCCAAGGGCAGTGCGGAAACGCTGCTGATCACCAAACCCAAGTGCCTTGGTGAAGATATGAGCAGTGTTGGCCTAGGAGGCCACGTAAGACCACGCTACTGCAGCTCTCGTGCGAGAAAGTAACGAAGAGCAATGTGCTTCGTTCAGTGCTCCAGCCTCTGCTCCCGACACAAAGCAATCATGGCATTGTTGTCGACGTACAGAACTGGAGGAGAACGAGGCCGCTCACCCAAGTCAGTCAGCAAGTAGGTCAGCCAACGTAACTCCTGTGCAGCCATAGCCCCAGCGTATATCTCTGACTCACAGCTGGAACTAAGTACAGAAGACGAGCGGGTGGTCCTCCAGGAGACATATTCAGCGCCAAGACTGAAA